CCCTCTCTCTCTGGGAGAGAGAGAGAGAGAGAGAGAGAGAGAGATCGTAAGACATAAATAAAGAAAGACCGATATAGAGAGATAGAGAGAGAGAACACACACGAACGAAAAGGGGGGACGTGGGCATCTGGGAGTGTGTCAGACGTATGTCGTGGGGTCTGTCTGTGGCCCAGGCCCGCCGTGGCCAGAACAGTTCTTGCGTTCCTTCTGATGCGTTCCGTATGGTCGCACGATGACGCGCAGGAGGGGGAAAACACGCACAATTCATCGCCGAATCCCAGGAAAATATTGGAACATGTGGGCAGTGCAGGGGGAAGCCGACACCCTGGAAACTATGGGGAAACAATGGGGAAGATCTTGGGAGCTGTGCCTGCTTCTGTCTGTGTGCCCCTGGACCCCTTTCGGACTGCAGCTCTCGACCGTCGCGACTCTCGGCGGCCCTGCTCCGCGGCCGGGTCTGCAGGGCGGGGCTCCCTCGGGGGAGCTTCGCGAGGAGGAGCGGGGCGGCCCCTTGAGCCCCCCCCCCCCCCAGGGGGCAGTGGTCGAGTAGTGGATCGACGACAGCACGAGCGACGCAGGAAAGCAGGGTCGTCTTCGCCGACAGTCGCGCGCAGGCTGCACGGGTCATGGCGCGCGTAGTAGCGCCCTCGTCTCCAACGTAGCGTGCCACGCTGGCGGCCTGCGTGAGCCGCGGCGTAAGGTCGCGAGGGCGCGAAGGTAACCGCGCATCGCGGGGCGTGATGTGCGACGTGCGAAGTTGGGTGACCCAGGCTCCGCGGACGACACTTGTGCACCGTGCCGCGTCGGCGCCTCTTGAGGCGTCATCTGTGCTCGACCCGGGAATGGTGCGGTGCGTTCGTCGGCCCCCAGAGCAAGCATGCGCGCCGTTCTCATGATTGCAGTCCCCTCAAAGCCAGCCCCGGCTGAGGAGGGTCGGGTCGGCGCTCTCACGGACCTCAGCGAGGAGCAGCTGCGGCTCGTGAGCGACAGGCTGCGGCAAGACCAGCTCCGCATCGCGGCGCTCGAGGACACCGTGCGGCACCGGGACGGCGAGGCGATGGCCTCGGCCAGGCTCAACTGGAGCCTGCAGCAGCAGCTGATGGAGCCCGAGTGATCAAAGCCGCGGAAGAACCTCATGCTGTCCCCCGCCCCCCCCCACCCACTAAAGGTCCAGCTTGGCAATTGGGTGCGAGGGTCGGCGGCAGGATTGTTTGCCCAGTGTTGTTCGCCGTGTTGCCTTCCGTCGGGCGTTTCTTTCTCTCCTGGCGGACATCCCCGGAGCTGCCCCACACGATAGAGAACTCCCGTGCTCGTTCGCGCGAGGGTTGTAGTATCAACCCGGGCACGTCCCTCTACAGGGGGGATATTCGAAAATAGTTAGAAAATAGTCAGGGGACGATTTGTTTTTACCATTTTTGAGCATTTTTTGTTGGTGCATATTTCTATGTTTTCGTCCAAGATCCGCCTGTTGGGGGACATGCCCGACCTAACACAAGGGTTGTAGTACGAGTCCGTATCCTTCCCCTCGAGTCCTTCCTGGTAGAGCTGTAGAAGCGCTCGTCGACGGGTGACGACGACGGCGACGACGACGGCGGCGCTGGCGTTTGCGCCAGCGGAGGAGTATTCACTTGCCAGGTATGTTTTCGGGTATCAGCAACCCTCCAGCAGGCCCCGGACAAAATGATCAGTTGCCCATTATTCGTCGGAATGGCGCCGCGATGACGCGGCGCGCCCTTTTCGACAAGGAGGTGGGCCACTCCTGAGGCACACGAGATCCACCAGGGAATCAGATTCTTCCAGGTTCTCCCAGATTCTTCCGAATTCTCCCAGACGCTATCGGGTTCTCGCAGATTTTTGCGGATTGTCCGAGAAGCGCCCAAGCGTCAAGCGCTGGCAAGATCTTAGTGACTCATCGACACTCTGCGGCAATCTGGGTCACGCCAAGAGGCGCGAAGCTAAGCACGCTTCGCGGCTCGGGTTGGAGAGGGGCCCTTCTCCAGGGCGGTGGCGCGAGGGCGCGAAGGTAACCGCGCATCGCGGGGCGCGATGCGCGAAGTTTTCCGGGTGATTTAGGACGAACGGCGTAAGCATAAAGGTTCAGAATCGGGAGGTCAGGGCAGATATCTTGGAGCGGCGCTGGGCCTCCCTGGCGGCGCCTCCAGCGCGCTCCGCGCGCCAGGGATGGGGGCTCAGTGCCGATCCCAGAAATCCGCGTGGACCTGCCAAAGTTCTTGCTCACGCCCCAGGTCACCCCCGGGGGTCGCGGAGACAGCCGCGCCTCGCGCACCGCGGCCTGGGTTGGAGAGGTGCCCAGGGCAGCGGCACGAGGGCGCGACGGCCACCGCAGCGTCGCGCACTCCCTGATAGCCGACGTGGTGACGAAGGCTGCAACGTCGCGAAAATCCGCGACCCGAGCCCTAGACCCCATCATCCTGCCGCATTTTTCGAGCTGCGTCGACATGTGAGAGCCCTGGGGCCCGAGGTCGTGCGAAAACGTCCGGTGCGAAACAAAAACCAACACCCAGATCTCCGAAGGACGAGGAGGAGGAGGAGGAAAACAAAGAGGAGGAGAAGGAGGAGGAGGAAGAGGAGGAGGAGGAGGATAATAATAATACGAATACGAATGATAATGATAATAATAAATAGTAATAGTGATAGTAATAGTAATAGTAGTAGTAATTGTAATAGGAATAGTAATAGTAATAATACTAGTAATAGTAATAGTAATAGTAATAGTAATAGTAATAGTAATCGTAATCGTAATCGTAATAGTAATAGTAATAGTAATAGTAATAGTCATAGTAATAGTAATAGTCATAGTCATAGTCATAGTCATAGTATTATAATAGTAATAGTAGTAATAATAATAAGAATTATTCACTGCGTGGGGATCCCCATATGTGCATCTCCTTGCTGGCGCTCCCTTGGTGGTGGGACTCGGTGGGGACGAATCTGGATTTTAGTGTGACTGAGCTGCCTCTCTCTCTCTCTCTCTCTGCTCTCTCTGTCTCTCTCTCTCTCTGCCCTCTCTCTGTCTCTGCCTCTCTTTCCCTGCCTCTCTCTATCTCTCTCTGCCTCTCTCTCTGCCTCTCTCTCTCTCTGCCTCTCTCTCTCTCTCTGCCTCTCTCTCTGTGCCTCTCTCTCTCTGCCTCTATCTCTGCCTCTCTCTCTCTCTCTCCTCTCTCTCTCTCTCTCTATTCTCTCTCTGCTCTCTCCTCTCTCTCTCACTCTCCCTCTCTCTCTCTCTCGCTCTCTCTCTTCTCTTCTCTTCTCTTCTCTTCTCTCTCTCTCTCTATCTCTCTCTCTCCCTTTCTCTCTCTATCTCTCTCTCTCTTCCCTCGCTCTCTCTCTCTCTCTCTCTTCTCTCTCTCTCTCTCTCTTCTCGCTCTCTCGCTCTCTCTTGCTCTCTCTCGCTCTCTGTCGCTCTCTCTCGCTCTCTCTCTCTCTCTCGCTCTCACTCGCTCTCTCTCGCTCTCTCTCGCTCTCCCTCGCTCTCTCCCGCTCTCTCTCTCTCTCTCTCTCTGCTCTCTCTCTCTCTCTCGTCTCTCGCTCTCTCTCTCTATCTCTCTCTTCTCTTCTCTTCGCTTCTCTTCTCTCTCTCTCTCTCTTCTCTCTCTCTCTCTCTCTCTCTCTCCCCCCCCCTCTCTCTCCACTTTCTCTCTCTCTCTCTCT